CGGGTTCCTCTTTACACGGGTTTTGCTTTACACGGGTTCCTCTTTACACGGGGTCGCTTTACACCTGTTCCTCTTTACACGGGGTCGCTTTATACGGGTTCCTCTTTACACGGGTTTCGCTTTACACGGGGTCGTTTTACACGGGTTCCGCTTTAGAAGGATTCCTCTTTACACGAGTTTCGCTTTACACAGGTTCCTCTTTACACGGGGTCGCTTTCGACAGGTTTTACTGCAGCGATAAAAAAAAAAAAACTTTTCAGAAAAATTGTAAAAAAAAAAAAACTAAATGGGAAATCTATTTATTTCACGTGGAGTTTGATATATCGATGCCCCTAATGATGTTATTTTGAATTTTAAAAAAGAAAAGTCGACTTTAATGACATATTTCCTTCAAATGTATCGAAGGCCACCAAAAAAAGGTGATAAAATCAATGTAAACTTGAATCATGGGACCATGTCATGGGTTAACTGAAGGTCTGCCACGACAAGGGGACCATGTATAGTTAGAACTATATACAACAAGAGCTTAAAAGACCATGGTTTATTGTATCCCAATTCCCAGAGTTTGGCATTTTTAATCCTTTTGTATTTATTATATTGTCACGGCAGAGAAGACAAGTATTCTGAAGGTTTATGTTAAAAACAATTAACAAGATCTATATAGAATGAAAAACGTGATAATAATATTACAAGTGATAATCTACAAGAATGTGTGTGATAAGAGGTAGTGACGCAGAGAGAATATGGTTTTACGGGCTACTAACCAAAGCGTATGATTTACGAGCCCGGATACAAAAAAAAAAAAAAAAAAAAAGATCGCCCGGACAGGGGCTAGAACCCTGGACCGATAGGTTAAAAGCCTAACGCTCTACCGACAGAAATATATTTATTTACGGGGCTGCTAACCAAAATAAAATTATTTTTGAGCCCCGATGGCCGCGTAAAGCGGAATATATACAAAGCACTATGACCAGGCTGGGGAGGCTAGGGACAGGATCTCCGTCAGGGAAGAGGCAGGTTAGGCCGTATTGGGTCCGCGGAGGTCAGGAGGCAGGAAGAGGACTAGAACTTTGCAGCTCTAGCTCTGGCAGTTGGGGAAGACATTGATCTTGCCTCGTGGTCGGCAGAGAGGCCCTTGGCTGAGCAGTTAGCGTACTTGGCCGTGCGCGGGTTGGCGAGAGTTGGACAGCTTCGGCCTTGGTGGTCACCAGATGCGCAGTGGAAACAGGCGACTGTAGCCTCTACCGACCGAGCTATCCGGGCTTAAAACTAGTAATGTAGCCAAATATTTTAGTTGATAAACTAACAACAACAGAGTATTTTACAATAATTCTGTGACGATATTTCCAATTAGACGAGAACTATAAAAAAAATATGACGCAAGAACAAAAAGAACAAATACCTATTGCTAAACTATACCTTAAAGATAGAGATTGCCTGGCCGGTATTCACTGTTCTTAAAATTAAGAGACACTTTGGCTATTAAATGTTTTTATTCTCTCAACGTTTCGACAAACATCTTTTGTCCTCGTCAGGAACAAATAAAAATCAAAGGCAATGCGTTATAAATATATCATACACAGTCTAGCCATAAATTCTGTTACAAACAATTTTATAAATTAAATGATTAAGAACAAAAACTAATGGAATATATAAATACATATTATATTAGCCAATAGGACATAGATTTTAAATATATACAATCATTCAAAATGTCCTCCCTTATTTTTGACACAGGATCTCAAACGTCCGGGCCACTGATCTATGGCGGCACGCAGCTTTTCTAAGGGTATTTCTTTCATTGCTCTCACAAATGCTGATTTCAATTGATCCAAATTATGATATCTTTTAGAGCACACCTTCTCCTCTAAATATTCTCACAAACTGTAATCAAGGGGGTTTAAATCAGGGCTTCCAGAGGGTCATTCATTGGCCTTTATGAAATCCGAACATTCGTCTTCAACCATTGTTGAGTTGACTTAGCTTTGTGAGCAGGAGATGAATCTTGTTGAAATATCCAATGTTCTCCATTAAACATTTTTCTTTATTCAGAGGCTTTACTATTTGTTCCAAAGTATCTTCTTGATAGTTTTTAGCTGTAGTTTTTACCCCTTTGGCACAGAAGTGGAGATCTGTTACACCTTGGTAGCTAACTCCCCACCAAGCCATGACAGAAGAAGGATGGTGACTTTTTTCAAGTCTTCTGACTTTCAAAGAAGCTTCTAGAGAGCTACAAGCATATATCCTATCATTCTGACGATTAATCTTTTTCTCGACAGTGAAAATTTTCTCGTCTGTGAAAAGGATTCTATCATGCCACCGACCATCATGCCGCGCCAACAACATTTTTGATCTAACTCTTCTAATATCTCTAAGAGCAGGGGTTATCAAATGACTTGTGCGTCGTTTGAAAGCTCTGAGTCCAAGGTCTTCGTTGATTATCCTGGAAAGGGTTCTTGAAGCTTAATTCATCTGCTTTGCGAAGTTCTTTTGTTTGCGGCGTGGATTTCGACGAAATCTTTCGCGAATGGCTTTTATAGCTGCTTGCGTTCATTGCACGCGCGGTCGACAAGATCTTTCAAGGTCCTCAATAGTGCCAGCCTTGTTGAACCTTTCAATGGTTCGATAAACAAATTGACGCGTAATATTCAAATTTTGTAAAAGTTTAAAAATGGATGAAGGACTTTGGCCTACCTTGTGTAAGGCTATTACAGCTATAGGTTTTCTTTAACACCCCAATTCATTATCGAAAAACAAATATATTCCGATTTTTTTCTAAACACGTGTACACGAGATATTCAAATAACAACTACTGTATTTTGAATACTTCACGCGCTCAAATTAAAATTTTTATCACTGATTTGGTTTTGTAACAATATTTATGGCTAGACTAAGTAGGTTGCAAGATACAATAATAACGCTCTGGGCTTAAGAGGACCATTATCCCGGAACCATGGTCTTTAGCTGGAGGCTTCTCAGTTAGCCAAAGCTGGTGTTGTGGCTTTGTCATCGACCCGAGGCCGTTAGTTTGCTGCGATGGTCAATAGATGGCATCTGGTTTTGACGTTTATTTTGACGGGAGGGGTTACTTTTACCTTCAATAATAGTATATAGATATATATATATTCTATGGTGTGAATATCTAAATAGTAATTCTGTTTCCAACCATCGCTATGTAATCTAGATGGATTTTGTTGCCCTTGTGAAAGAGGACGTTCTCGCGAAAAAAAAAAAAAAAAATATATATATATATATATATATTGAATCTACACTTCTCTTTTGTGTGAGATTGGCAAATTATTTTACCTTTTTAGACGATTAAAAAATATATTTTTCTTGATAATAATTTGCTTTCGGAAAGACACAACCAAAGACGATATTACATGAGGACACAAGGAAAATCTCGTGGTCGTCCGAAGACAAAAAGCTTTGGTAGATCAAAATTCTTCAGTCGGATTTGATAAAACAAGCTAAGGGCTGAAGGGGCTTTTTGATAGCCTGGATAATAATCACTTATCTGAAAGAGACAACTTTGATAGGAAATAGGTATTGGGTTTTAAGGGCATTTATATAGTACCGGCCTCTATACAAGTCATGGAAGGTTGTCTTACTTATGGATGATATGATGTCAATGTTTTAAATATAGTACAGATATATGTTTTAAAATTACAAAATATTTTCTCAGAATAAATTTCTTTTTATTACAAAACGCTAGCTTTCAAGCGATAATCGCTCTTCAACGGACTTAATATAATATCGACTTTATCCCACCAGAAATATTTACAAAAACAAAGCGTGGATATTTATAACTGAATTTTTAAATTGGTTTGTAATTTAACAATTTTATTGAATACAGATATATGTACCTTCGATCTTTTTTTGATGATCGGGGCATCTTAATTGGGGTATAATGATGTTCCATATTGGTCGATGACCTATCAGAGGATGATATTGTACGATGATGATTGATTTTAGCTTATAGGTGATTATATTAATTATACAGTCTCCATTTTTATATTTTCGACGTCTTTCTCTTGATGTAAACCAGATTCCTGGAGCGCAATAAAGTCGCCAACTATCCGGTAAAAGGAATTTGCCTACATCAGCCGGTGTTCCCATGTGGTCATTGTTGGAAAAAAAGAAGGAAAATGTTTTAAAATGTTTTAAAATCAATGATCTTAAAATACTTTCAGGCTGAAAACACTGTAATATAAAAATAATTGAGAACGAGTGATGTTTTTTGATTATATAATTAGTAATTACTGGTCCTGTAGGCGGATCAGGCCAGTCATCCTGGAGGCCTTCACCATCATCCCCCCTGACCTGCAGAGCTGGATCTTCGGGCATGGCCTGGAGGACGACGCCCTGGCCATCCTCGCGTCTGCAAAGGCTCGTATATATAGGCACTTCCTGACCCTGGAGTTACGGTGGGTGCAAGAATCCTGGTCTGGAGGAGGACCCTATCAAGATGGTGGAGAGTCTCCCTAACTCATATTTTATTGTATATATTCCCTTTTTTTTTTTTCATTTATTTGTAAAACCTAATTGACAAGATGTCAATAAAAGTGCTCAAATGTCAATGTCTCTCTCTCTCTCTCTCTCTTTGAAAATAATAAATTTAAAAATACTTTCTTAAAAGGTAAAATCGCCTAATTCTTTAAAACCATTTCATCTGTAACTAAACTTGTTATTTATTGTTTCATCGTCTAAACCATAAAAGATTCCCAAAAGCCACCCTCAAGTATTGACCGACATTGCAATTTTCGACGTAAAAAAAAAGTACTTTATAAAATGAATTTAGGAATTTTTACACTATTTTTAGCGTTAATACATAAAATAACTTTCTACTATTCTTTCTCTTCAATTAAAACAAATATTGGCTCTAAAAATAGTTTCAAAATACACGTAGAGATGGCGTGATAGGTCATTCTATCTAAAAACTGAGTAAATGAAGTTTTCTGGGGATCTCTTTCAAAACCACGGTTTCTCCAAGGAGGAGCTATGTCAATACAATATCAAAATATATTGTAATTTTATTACGGGCTATAGAAAGAGTGTTGAAAAAACATTTATGGATTCGTAGAGGGAGATAAAGATCCTTTATTACCTAAAGGTATAAAACTATAAAAGAAGGACAAAAGAACAAACTATATGTACATAAGCAGCTCACGTCGGCCTTCCTTATTCACCTAACCGCTAGCCTACTAAACAATCCAACAAGACTGGGCTATATAGACAGATGTCAATTAACATAGACAATACTAAAGTGCTATGCAAATCACAAGAGTATTCTATCGTAGAAATATTCCGGAATTGTAACTTTCAATAAAGAGCCCCTAGAGAGTTGAAATACCCGGACACCAAAAAGAGACCTATTATTTGTATGGACTCAATCTATGACACACACTCATGGACAAAACGTAAGGAAATGGAAAGTCCTTGATGTTTCAGGACGACTGTTATTATTATTATTATCATTTTTTTGAAGAAGAAGACAGGCAAATTTTTGTTTACACCTAGTCATCTCGTGTGTCTTCAATAAAAGAGTCACTATGTACTCGTATCAAATATCTTTCAGAGTTATTGTCTGAATCCCGATATACATGCTAAAAGGTACAACTTCTTTAAGTTTGAAGGAGACAGAGGTTGTTCACACTTGGTTATCTCGTGTGTCTTCAATAAAGATCACTGTATATCAAATATATTTCAGAGTTATTGTCTGAATTCCAATATACATGCTAAAAGGTACAACTTCTTTAAGTTTGAAGGAGACAGAGGTTGTTCACACTTGGTTATCTCGTGTGTCTTCAATAAAGATCACTGTATATCAAATATATTTCAGAGTTATTGTCTGAATCCCAATATACATGCTAAAAGGTATAACTTCTTTAAGTTTGAA